ACTCGAGAACCTTTCTTCCCCAACGGTTATTAGTTCTACGAGCTATATGGCCGGCCCATCGCCACTTCAGCTCACTAACCTTCTGAGCTTTGTCGGTTACGTTTGTTCTACTGCGGATGTCTTCATTGCAAACTCTATCATGCAGAGAAATACCGAGCATAGCCCGCTCCATAGTTCGCGGAGCGATTTTGAGCAACCTCATACGGCCAGCAGTGAAGGACCACGTATCAGTCCCGTATGTCATCACTGGCAGCACACACTGGTTGAAGACTTTAGTCTTCAAACATTGAGGTATATTCGGCGAGAAGATTTGCCGAAGTTTCCCGAACGCTGCCCATCCAAGTTGGATTCGCCGATTGACCTCTGCGTCGAAGTTGAACTTACCTAGCCGGACTAATTGTCCTAGATATACATATTGGTCAACAAATTCGAGCACAGTGCACCCAACAATAACATTAGACATGATCTTCGTCTTGTCCATATTCATATTATGGCCCACCCGTTGAGAGGCACTGTTTAAGGTCATTGAGCATAGTACTAAGGTCCGCCTGCGATTCTGCCGTGATGAGTATACGTCGGCATATAGAAGATGGGTGATGTATTCGCCATCGATGTTTATACCACGTTCTTTTCAGTCCAGATGCTTGAAAACATTACTATGTTTAATAGTTTATTCATGATAATTCATTTACCTAAAATTGCTAGTTATAGTTTTTTAGAAAATGAGTCATCTTCATGATAGTGTAATTTATGATTGCGACTGCAATAACAATTGTTCAATTTAAGAAAATGATCTCAAACTAAATGTTATGTTAGGTTAATTAGTTTCCTTATTTAATTTTGTACGTAGCGCATTTGTTTAATTTTTAATAAAGAATTTTATTCCACATAATTGATTTCATTTATTTTTGTGCTTGATTTACCAATACAGTTTTAAAATACAGTTTTTAATTTAATGTCAATTACGAAGCTAGGTTTGGAGTAATTTTAATAACTAGATAGAATTTCCACATTCACAAAAATCATTAAATAATGGTTAGGTAAATTTACTTGATTTATTAATTTAAACTCTGAATATTTTAGATCAATTTTTCTGTATCAAAATTTTAAACTAAGTAAATTTACCTATTTTTACATGTTACAGCATATGCTACAGTGATGACTTATATGATTTTACCTGTTTATGAAATCAGGTAAATTTTATCTACCCGACACAAACTGGTGTTTATAAAAGTGTGAGCTGTCTTATTGTGACAATTTCAATAGCCACAAAAAAAATTATTCTACCAGTGTTATCATCATTTAAATCGAACAATAGGTTGAATTTTTATGATTTTTTAAATTTATATTTGAACTTTAAATCACTCTCCTGTAAAATTTGCTAAGTGTCGCTTAGTTAGGGTTGCCTTTCAAACGTCGATATACTCTAGTATGTTTCTCTACTATATTATGCATGTATTATACATGTCGGCGACAGCGATAGATTAGCGATACGAACGTCATCGGTAGGAGCTTCTGGTGGAAGGTTCATGGCATAGGTCTCAGGCAATTAAACCACAAAGATATACTAGCATATATCTTGTATTCTATGAAGATAAACAATATAGTTACAAAGTTCCGAAGTGAACCAACTGCAACGGTCCCGTTTAGAAGGTCCGAACTGTATCGCTCTCACTAATGACTGAGTAACTCCGTAATACTGAGCTCAGACGCCGTGAATGGGTTCGGGTTGGTGACCCGATACGTTTCGATCTTCGGGGACATCCCCCACTGATCGGGCTGAAACTCGGCTGGCAAAAGGCCAGCCGGTGGTGACTCCTCCTGAAAACGGAAAAAAGCACAATCCCTGACCGCGGCTGCGGTGTTAGTAGGGCAGAAATGTTATATGAGAATACTAAACTACGTAGGAAGGGACAACAGGGACTCTACCTACGGGTCTAGGATAAGGAAGGGGAATGGGACCTAACTACTTGGGTTAGGGTTGGGTGGTGGGAGTGGGGCACGGGCCTGCCGGCGACTCAGGTTCCCCCTGAACCTGTGTCCTCAGCAGGTCTCGTGGGAGCGGGCGCTCGTCCGGTGGGCGAGCGTGTAGCGGGGCCAAATTGTGTAAGTGGGTGTGTGGCCCGTTGTCCGCACGGTTGAACATCCCGCGCGCAAGTCGGGCCACAAAGTCGGAGATGGACTCTAATTTTAAATTTTGTGCTATCACGTCGTTTCGGACGTATCGCCCGGCTCCCACGATCGCACGCAGGGTGAGATTTTGCAGCGCCTGAAGCCTATCTTCCTGCTTCGGAGAGCACAGCCCATACCACGCCGGGGCTGCGTAGGTCAAGCGCGAGCGAATATAGGACTTGTAAATGGCCAATTTTGACCGCAATGGTAGCTCGGATGCAAGAACGGGTCGTAGGACCGCCTTTGCCGCTCTCGCCTGTCGGACCACATGGTCGACTTGGGGGACCATTTGCAGCGAGCGGTCGATCCTGCATCCGAGATACGTAATATGGGACTCCGATGAAATAGCTCGACCTCGCAGCTCGAGCGTGGGCGGGCTATGCACCCTCCTAATGTAAATGGAGGACGTCTTGTCAACGTTGACAGACATCCTCCACTTGTCGAGCCAAGGTGGCAGTAGGTCTAGCTGGCGCTGCATCTTCCTAGCTGCGTGCGCCGTATTGTGTGAAGAGGTAAAGAACGCGCTGTCGTCCGCATAAAGCGCCAACAGCACGTTCTCGTCCCAACCCGGGTTGGGCTCTTCTATATTCCGGCATTCATGCTATAGGGGGACGAAAGGGCTCCGTCGACAGTGACGACAAAGCTCCGCCCCAGTAGGAATCTAGCCAAAAGTTTTACTATGAGATGTGGAGTGTCGCTGTTATTGAGAAGTTTGTGTACTAGGCCCGCATGCCACACTCGGTCGAAGGCCTTCTCCATATCGAGAAGGACCCCCAGACCGACACGGTCCCGGTTGTACTGGGCCGTGAGATAGTGTAGCACGCGGGTGAGTTGTGAAGTTGTGGAGTGTCCCCTGCGAAAGCCGAACTGCTCCCTGCGCAGTGCAATGCAGGGAACTATCCTGCCCAGCAGGAGGCGTTCAAATAATTTGGTGTGATAAAAGTGCAATGGGACGGTAGCTTGCCGGCTGCCGACGGTCCTTACCTGGTTTGGGTATTAAAATTAATTTGCCGGCTTTCCACTGAGAGGGAAAGTGTGCTGTACGTAGTGTGCCGTTGAACAAACGGCACAGCGACACAATCCCCCTCTTAGGGAGTTGCTTGATGGTGAGGGTGGTAATGCCATCAATGCCCGGTGCTTTCCGGTTTGGGAGACGCCTAACCGCCCTAAGTACCTCAGCCGGTGAGATGAACAAGTCACCCGACAGCTGAGGCACTGGCGAAGTTAAAAACTCCTGTACGCTCTCTTCTACCTGGGTGTGGAAGGGAAGTGTATCTGGAGTGGAGGGATTAGGAACGAATTGGAACGCTAAATGCTGTGCGAAGACGTCGGCCCGGTCCAGGGCTGCTACGGCCCTTCTCCCGTCGCTCCCGAGAAGCGGGCACGCGGGTTTTGGAACACGGGCGAGCTGCCGATTGAGTTGGTACAGGGAGGTTACGGAACTAGAGGCCTCGTCAATCCTCTCCTCCCACAATGTACCGCGATGGTTTTTTATCTCAATCGACAGCTCTTCCGAGAGCTTATTCAATTCGGACTTGATACGTGGGCATCTGGTGCGGGCCCAAAGCCTCCTAAGACGCCTTTTCTCCCGAATCCGGCCGAGTAGCCTACCGGGGAGCGCGTCTCTATGGCTCACATATCTCACCTCCGAAGTCGTGGCCCCCAGCACCTCCTGCATTTTGCAGCTGATGCTGTGGACGGCCGTCTCCACATCCTCCGGAGTTGAAATAGGTGCGCCGTATTTGAAATCAGACATCGCTCTCCCGTAGGCCACCCAGTCGGTTCTGAATCTAGGACGTATCGGAAACAGTGAGTCTGCACCGATACCCACGGTAATTAAAATTGGGAGGTGATTCGTCTCGGCATCGTAAATAGCGTCGACGTGAATGGGGCGCGACATCTTATAACATAACACTATGTCCAAGACGTCTGGAAGATGTAGTGGGGTGGTGGGGATATGAGTCGGCTCGTCCGGACCGAGCACTTCATACCCGACCACCCCTGCGTCATCAAACAGCGCTCTGCCAGCGGGCGAGGTGATACGCGACCCCCACGCTGGATGTTTAGCGTTAAAGTCCCCAGCGATGATAGTGGGGACTTCGGAGTTAAAAATAGTGCGGATGTCCGCCGAACAAAATTTGGAATTTGGAGGCCGGTATGCAGAGTAAACGCGCATCTCCCGCCCGCCGATGTAAATGGCTGCACCGATAGTGCACGTACTGACATAACTGCCCAGCCTCAACTCGTCATGCATTAGGTCGCACCGGACGAGAATGGCCACCCCCCTATAGGGGCGGTTGTTCGCCGGATTGACCTCGTCCCTACGATACGTGACGAAGTTGGGGATGCGCAGCGTGCCAGTCGCCGGGAGCTTGGTCTCGCCAAGCAGCACGACGTGAATGCCGTGTTGCCTAACGAGACTCTTAAGCTCGGCTATGCGCTGTCTGATGCCGCCGGGATTCCAGTAAAGGATTTTAAGGTCAGTGGAGGGGGTCTCTGCGAGCCGTAGTCAAAAATTGTATGGCGGTCGTTATCGCCTGTAATGGATCGTTGCCCGTGGCAACAGAGACCAGGATGTCACCGAGAATACCCGTGATCAGCCTGATCAGTTGAGAAATGGCCCCTTCGATCCGCTGCACAATCTCGATCTGTTCAGCAGTCCTGGAGGGGGAGTGTCCTTGAAGGATTGGAAAGTGTGGTAACGTCGGCCGCTCCGTGGGCCTCGAAGTAGGTTGGCGTTGGCTGCTTTCGGTAGCGGCCGGTGCCGGCCCACGGGGGCTTTCGTAATCTGTTGAGGGGCAGCAGGTTGGGCAATAGGCGTGGACTCAGCCGCCGCCTGCTGCTGGGCCTCGCTTTTCGCCTTCTTTTTCTTCCTCCCCCTCTTCTTCTTTGCGGCAGTGGACTGCCGAGATTGTGGCTCGTTGGCCGGAGCCATGAGGTGCGTGGGAGCTGCCTCTTCTTGCAGCTCTTGCAGTGGCGGTTGCTGAGTTGGGCGCTGTTCTTCCTCCTCCTGGCGCCTGACTTCAGCTGGCCGCGTCGTCGTGCTCGATGCGGCGGGAGGGATGGGAGGGGACAGTTTAATCCCTTTTTTCTTTGCCACCCTTTGCAGGACGGCGCAGCGTATATCATTTGCGGCGTGAGCTTTGGCGCAATTGGCGCATTTGTTGCGTTTCCCTTTATTGGGGCATTCGCCAGCGAGGTGCTCTCCTGCACACCGGACGCACCTCAGCGGTCGGTGGCAGTTAAATGAGGAGTGCCCAAAGCCCTGGCACCGATGGCATTGCGCCGGGCCCCTCTTATCGACCCACGCTTCCACCGTGATGCCCGGCATGTTGAGCACCTCACTGACTTTGTAAATGTTTGCCAACTGTTCGTGGCTTAGGTGGTCGAGTTTCAAATGAAAAAGGGCCCCCGGTCTACCGCGTCTGGGCGGTATCATCCTGGCGTAGGTGGCCGGGTAGCCCATCCTTATGAAATCCTCAACCACCTCTTCTGGTGATGTATCGGTCGGGAGGCCGCGAATTCCCACCTTAGTGGGCAGGTCTTCTGCCGGAGTGTAGCAGTACCACACGAACGTAGGGTCTCTGCTTCTCTCCGTAACCAGATATCTCTGGATCACTCTAAATTCAGAGGCTGTTTGGGGCTGGAACCTCATACCGCGCCCGAAAGATCGGGCGTTCGGGGCGTGGCCGAGCTGTTTCTTCAGTTCGGCGAAGTGCTTCGTCCAGTCTGGGAAGCACTCGACTATAATACGAGGGTAGCCCTTGGCATCCTCCTCCATCGGTTTGGGCGTGGGTGTGGGCTGCGTGAGCTGCGTGGAAGGTTCGGGTATGGCGGCGCTCGGAGATGGTGGAGCGGACGTCATGGATGCGTAACTCGGTGGCGGTACGGCAGGGCAGGGCCGTTCCCCCACCTCGGGGGCCAACGTCGCATACGACGTTGAATCGGTCGCAGCCCCGCTACTTTCCGCGCCAGAGTATTGACGCATAGACGTACCGCTCGTGCTGGGCCCCGGCTGGGGCTCGTCATCCGGGGAGAGTGGTGGTTCGTCGTGGACAAGCACCGCGGCCGGAGCGGCGGCGGCGCTGTCTATTGGTTGCGCGGGGGTAGGCCCCCGCCTGGGAATCTTTTCCTCCCGATCTGAATCGTCAGGGGAAGTGCGAGGTTTAGCGCTCTTCGGTGGGCGCGGTTGCAACGGAGTGGTGGTGATGAGCCTGGCGTGTAATCGCGCCGACTCATCAGCCGTGGTCGCAACGCGCTCCGCCTGGCGCTGAGTAACAGGTATTTTACTCACCTCGGGCTCGTGCTCGTGCTCGGGGGCTGATGTGCTGCGGACTCTCGCGGGCCGCGCCTGCGCCTTAGCCTTAACGGGCTTGGGCGCGGTCTTCGGCTTGGAAGTCGACGGACGCGGGATTTTTCCCTTGTCCGCCATGGTACACTGATTTAAAATATGCACATTTGTGCTAGTGTCCCGGTGGAATGTTTTTGTTCTTCACCTTTGCACCATATTCGGCCCCTTTTATAATAAAAGGGGCCCGAATATAAAAACTGCGACGATCACTTTACGCGCACAAACACTGAATTTAAAACTGTTCTATAAAGCGTCCTGTCGCACTGTGTCACATAGACTGTACACGCCGCTAATGTCTAACCACTCGACGTCGCGGAGCGGAGCTCAACGCAGGACGGAGGTATACATATACGATATACATATAAACCTTCCTCTTGGATCACTCTATCTAGTACAAAAATCGCATCAAGATCCATTGCGCAGTTTTAAAGATCTAAGCATACATAGGGACAGACAGAAAACAGAACGACTTTGTTTTATACTAAGTAGTGATGGCAACGCATCTGCAACCCTTCGCGTGTTGCAAATGTCAATGGGCGGCAGTTAAAAAAAAGTAGGTTGTTACTTGCGAAAATTTGGAAGTTATTTATTAATTGACTTTTTATTAAAACAAACAATGTAAACAATTCAATTGTCTTAGTTTTTAAACCCCGTACTTTAGTAATAAATTTTTAACATTAATAAGAAAATAAATGATAGCCGAAAAAAGAAATTTTTGTGACCATAGTGTGATGCTATGACACGAAAAGTGTAATTTTATTTTCTCCACCAAAATCTAAGTGACATTGATTTTCCTGTTTATTATCCTGGTTATTTCTATCAAACTTGACCAAACTAGCTGATGCCTTTGCCGAGCCGTGCGAATTATATAGTTTCTTACTATAATTGATTACCTAAGTTAGTTAATTTTTTTCATGATCTTTTATTCTAACTTCGTATTTTAGTTTAACATGTATTTTCTTTTGAAAATTCCTAAAAAAAATTTTATTTTGGTAACCGAAATTATTGGAATAACTCCGAAATAATTTCGGCTTCCATTAAATGCACATTGTAAAGAGGCGTACGTTCATTCGACATGGATTAATCGGGATTAAAATACATCGGTCCGCAAATTGAAGTCTGATTCTGACGGTAGATAGTGTAATCCGTGCTGTTAATTGATTTTGCTATCACTCTTATTATTATTTAATTTGTTTTCAATTCTTGTTAAAATTGGTGGCAATCTGATAAGTTCTTAAATATTTCCATGAGCTTACAAGACAACATTAGTTAAACCGTAAATGTTAATAAAATGTAATGTATCAACGTTGCCACATGCAGGCTAATTTGATAGGTTGAGATTTTGAAACGAATCAATTTTCTTAAGTGCAGAGATTAGCACTTTTAAAATTTAAATTACGAATAGTATCGTCTAAAAATATTAAATTAAACTGAATAATTCCACTATGTTCTCCCATTTAACTTAACACAGTACATGAATTATTCACAGGGCGCGATTGGCAATTAGATTTTGTACTTTTTTTTTTTTTTACGGGTTTATCTTGAATACTGTAAGAAGGCTACGATTCGTAGAGATATTTTATCACAGACATTCAGTCTCAATATGCCTAGGATGTATGCTAGGTTAAGATTGCAATGAAAGGTGAGGAAGAGATAAGGCGCTCGAGATTACTGTTAGCTGTTTCATGTATTAATTTATTTTCTAATGTTCATATAAACAAAGGTCGTACAGTACGCAATACATATAAAGCAAGTAAACAAGGCAATATACTCTTGACAAAACATAATTATAGTGCTTCTTTCATCACCATACATCTTTGTATACCGAAATAAAAGGAAAATTACAGCATGTTAGATGATATTAATGCTCGTGGAAAGTGTCCATGCTGTGGGCCATGTATTTATAACACCTGCCCGACAAATAGAATGCAAAAACTCCCATCCTCTTGGATAAAAAGACGTGAGATGCGGCTGTAGTCTTAACGGACATGCAAGACTATATGCAGCCTAATAGGAAGATGTCCACACATATGCGGCAAGACTTCATATTTTAAAACAGCTCGTATTGAGGGAGCTATACAGCGGAACCTCGGATCAAAGGTCTTCGCCAGAGATCTGTCTATCGTACAAAGCAAATTGACTAAGTTGAAGGCTGACTGCAGGGCTATCATCTCCAGTAGACTAAAGTTTATTAAAGAGATTAAGAGGTTCTATGTATAGTTGTACATATTATCATCGTTGGAGCTACAAACACTAGTGAGTAACGTTCCAAGAACCAAACTTGTCCGACACTATTTCGAGAATATCCCGGACGTTAGTCTGAACGAGATTAGACTGACTCTTGGCCGTCTTGAAGATTGGCAAAGCATTAGGAAAGGACGGATTATAGCAGATCTTCTGAAATCGTGTTGAGCCGGTTCTCTACTTGTGGTCCTTGAGAAGCTCTTTAATTTCGTCGTTGAGGATAATGCTATATTAGACACCTGTGAAAAATAACGGTAGTTATGTTTAGTTAGAATAGATGATACGCGGGTCACATTGAAAGTTCTACGAAAAACACAAAACGCCATAATGTAAAAAGTTGTACACTTTAGTTGTTGTACGAAGCAGTCTCCATTCCTTTCTGTATATCTTCGCATTCGATGGAATCATTGAGAAGAGCGGTGGGCTCTTTCTTCCTCAGGGGTCTCTTTTACGGCATTTTCGCACTAAGTGCATCTTCATGGCTCGTAAAGCGAATACATCGAAGCTTGCTACGCCTACGCTTAAACTCATTAAAAATTGTTAACTGTAGCATGGATTGGGGCTTCATTATATAATGTCAGTCGAAGTCTACCGTATCTTTGTTGTCACGTAAGACCATGTTCAAGCGCCTAGAATATATCTACAGCAAGATAAAATAATTGCGGTGTAACTATTATATTATTTAAGGAAAATTTTTACTGTACATAATATGTTGTAAGGTAGATTCAACTTGATGCTTTTTTCGGCTAAAACATTCTAGAAACGATTTGAATTTTATTCATCTTTTTAATAAAACTTCCCGGAATCAGGGCCCGAATTACGATCGTCTCTTTAATAGAAAGTTCCTAAATTTCCTATACACCACTAAATTAAAATAAAATCAAATACCTCATTCGATAACAGTAACGAATGTCAACATTCCGTCTTGACAGCAAGACGGAATGTTGACATTCAAAACTCAAACCCGTTATAACAACAATTGATGAGTAATTTTTGAACATCGAAATAAAAACATGAAATTTTAAGTGTTTGTTTCGACACCGAAATCTATCTCACATGAAAATCCATCACCTACACGTCAATGTAGGATGACGACTAAAATTCGTGGTTTTTACCTATGAGTTTCTAAGACATAAAGAAGAAAATTATATTAAGAGTCATTAGTTTTGTTCTACCGATCAACGACAGTTCAAAGTTCGGATCCCTATAAAAGCATACTTTCTCTAGGTTCTATTTTTTGATTGTCTAGTTCATCTCGATGATTCAATTTTTTTTATATTAGAATATGATAAGTGATAACCGCCGCCCATTGACATTTGCAATAAGAGTCTATAGTTGCAGATGCGTTGCCACCTTTTAATAAAAGCGGTACCAGCTACATCACTCACCAGACGAATCGCAGAAGTTATACTTCCACTTGAGGTCGGTCTTCTGTGAGGTCGTGTTACTTACCCTGCCCATTCGTGAAACAGTTATACAACGAACACTGTTGTGTGGCCCTACATCAATCTAGTTTTCACATTTCGTCAATAAAATAATGAAATAATTCTTGCGGTAAGTAAGACTCTCGTGAAAAAGCTAAATATTGATAGGTGAAAAAATTAGACTATTTGTAAATAATAATCATGTATAGCGAACGGTAGTATAATGTAGTATAATGAAACAGTTTACTTGAAAACTTTAAAATGTACAGAAGTTTATAGCAGTAATTAACGGAAGTGTTCGAAATTAAATAGCCAAAATGAAAGTCGCATTGATAAGTGTAAATAAGGACAAAACTCAATTGCTTCATTCTTTACAAACAGCAAGTTCATTAAGCTTTATAAGATAAATATAATCAACTTAGTCAAATATTGATTTTACACAAATGAGAACTTCAGAAACTTGGCAAAATGACGGCACCGTCATAGACAACGAATATTGAAAAGACATCGAAAATTTTTGCTATGTACTTGCAAATATAACAATGAATGTTATTTTTCAAACTTTTTATTTAAGGCATATACAGGACAAATGACTGTTTAAACCAAACATATGGAACATGTGGAATGTATGGAATGGTTTTTTTTTATTTTATTATTGTACACAACATAACTGTTATTTTACTGGGCTCTGGCATATAGGACCAGCATAATAAAGTCTGTTATTATATCTCACCTTACCGACCTGCCCACTGGTTGGACTGCGTCAGATGAAGCTTTAAGCTCGGGACTGAAAGCAAAAACATCAGTAATTTCAATCCACTGGTTGGTGCAATCCTCAACGAGCCTTCTTCAAATATTGCCATAGCTCATGTTTGTCTTATAAATACAACAAAATTAATGTGTACTTTGACCAATAACACGTCATCAAATTTATCAATAGATAGCTTATAATTACTAACGAAAGAACAGAAATGCCGTATAAATTGTAGTAAGTGGTAACGTCCTATATATACTATATTGTGAATGCGCAATCACATACTTATTAATGTTATCTATACTAAATAGTTTGAATCCTAGTGGATTGTATCAACAGCTTTATTTTACGTTTTATGGTCTGTTAAATTATTTTAAGAACTAATTTATTATTTAGGTTCGGCGGGAAGACCGAATAAATTTAACTAATTCACTTTTTATTGTATCCGATCAAAGTCAGTTGGTAAAAGGTTTACAGAAAGAAACATTAATTTATGTTGTTTATTATATTAATCTATATTGTTTATCGTGCTTAAGTATTTCAAGTATTCAATTGACTATTTTTCATGATTAAAATGGCTGACTACGAAATATGTCCTTTTATAACAGAAGAGTTTGAGAAGTGTTCTTATAAGTCTTTTCAGGAGAACAATAATAAAA